TTCAGGTAAGCTTGATATAAAAAATTCAAAGCAGCTCAAAATATTTCCAAAGTCTAAAAATTTCGTTTGAAGGAATCAATGGCTTAATGGGAACCAAATCTGCACAATCAGTAAGTTGATGCTTCTTGTATAGAATACTGGAACCCAGATTTTCATATCTAAAGCGGTTCTTTAGCGAAAAGCTTCAGATGAGCTTAATATAAAAATACAAAGCGGCCCAAAATATTCCTAACGTTTAAAAATTAACTACCCAAGTTGGTGTACACCCTACGAGTTAGTTGATGAATATGGGACTAATGGTGGGTTTATACACGAGAATAAGGATAAGGCTTAAGGAATAACGCCTAATGGGGTGTTTATCAAACAGAATAAGGAACAATATTATTTTATGTACAGCCAATCAAATGGAAGCATAGGCTTAAGAAACAGTAGGGTTGTGTCTGTTTATATCAACATTATTGCGGTAACATACCAATAAAAGCTTAATTCACATAAATACTGTACATTAAAATGGATTTGTGAAGAAGTGGTAGTTCTTTTTGGATTAACAATTTCGTTTGATAACCTCACAACAAAATGTAAATACGGCGATGAAAGAAGAAAAAAGTTAAAAGTTGGCAACTTTCTTTAGCCTTATTCCTTAAGGCTTAGGCACTATTCGGTTTATAAACACCTCTCTGGACTGATGCGCAACGAACTTTTAAAATACGCCTTAATCGTTAAGCGTTATTCCTTATTCTCGTGTATAAACCCACCATAAAAGTTATACATGTACATGGCAACCAGTGGCAAAATAATGCTAAGCTTGCCGAAAGCTCCGTAGGGCCACCTGGAAAGAAAGAAGAAAATCTGTTCAAAGCTAAACTTATTTGAAATCAGCGCAGCAAAGAGAGGGCAATATAAAGAATCCATAAAATTTCAGTTGCCTGTCGGAAAACTTAAGTCATTTCAAGCTAAACGATTTGTAAATTAGAAATAATTCATACCAGCTTTCTGCAAGCTGACGCCCTATCCTCCATTTTCTACCTATCAATCCTCCAAAAGTTCACTGCACTTTCACAAGCTACCGCACTTGCCATAAGGGCCACAGTGATTATAAACTGCCCATCTAGGAATGCGATAATCGACGGATTTCGTCCCCTGTCGGTAGCAAACAGTTGAATATTAAAGTCATAGACCTTTTCGAGAAAAAAAGACTCGAACTATAGAATAAACACGATCATTTAATCATTTAGTTATTCGCCCTTTCGATGATTTATGCTTTACTTGTCAGTTCGATTTCAGTTGGTTTATTATTTACATTAACTTAACGTAAGACAACAACAACCAAACAAAAAATGATCCAAGCGCCAATCTTCCACTAATTTAATTTAGCATTTAAAGCCATTTATACTTGTCTGAATTTCACTCAGCTGCAGTGTTTAATGCACAACGCGAAAAGTAAAGTTTATAGCCGAATTAGTTTTATTTCTCTAAAAATATTGACCAAACAAAAAAACCGCGAAGAAACCAGTTAAAAATGAATCAGGAATTGTAGCTATACAGGCAATACTTACAGCTTTGCAAAAATAAAGTATAGTACAAATATGAACGCAAGAATGAGTTAAAAGTACGATATTGAAAACAACGATTTTTCTCAATGAAAAAACTATAACACAGTATTTACAAACATTTCGTTGTGTCACATTTTAACAGTAACGATTTTATTAAATAATCACCCGAAGAAAGTAGCGACAGTCTACAATAATACAGTTTCAATGAAGCGAGAGAGAAATAATTTTTTATAGCGGCCAAATGAAGATGTTACCGCTACTCGTTGTATATGTATATCTTACTTTTACTATCTATCAGCAGAAAACAAGATAAATGTAGTAGTTTGCAGCGTAAATATAGTGAATAAACTTTAAACCATTACGGAATTGACTAAACAATATTTTAAAAAAATGTTTTAAATAAACAATTTTTTTGATATTTTTGGGATTTGTGCAATTTTTTTAATTAGTATAAACCATTTTTAAAATCCATTTTGTTTTCTAATTTTTCCTTTTTTATCGTTTATTTTTTCTTTCAATTGACTAAAACTGTTTTAACTGTTGTTTTCAGTTTTGTGTTTCTTCCTTGGAAAGTTAGAGTAGTAGTTAAAAACGCTGGAACAATTAAAAGCTATTCGAATAAAAATAATGAACGGCGAATCTTAAAATAATAAGACCAAACAACCAAATCAGGGTATAAAGTTAATATGTTCCAATAAGAAAAACATTCAAAATAAATTGGGGAAAAACTTGGAAGCAAAAATATTTTCCTGTAATTTCGGGGGAACAAAAAGCAAATTATTTATAAACCGCGCTAAAATATACCAAAAGAGTAGAATGTAAATAAACAAACATTTTTCACAAAACAAAATGTTTTTTGTATTTGGTTGGAGGTTGGGTGCTATTCATCGTACAAGATGTGAAGCAATCCTGGAATAAAAAAAATAAAGTATAAACCAGAGATGCGGAACAGAAGGAGATACAGCAAAACAACAACCATGAAAGTTTCAGTTGAAAATAAACTTATGGAAATTAAAAATAAAACCAAAAAATATTTGAATAATCTACCAGAATCCACCAAGTTAATCGTTAAATCTAAAATAAAACTGTGTACTGTTTACTGTATCCTGCACAACAAGAACGACCCTGCTCTTAAATCAGCAGATCAGATAATAAAAATTGTCCAAGTCCTGATTGCTAATAAACAATACAAAAAAAACAATCAACATTATTATATCGCGTTGTCCGGTTTTATTCTACATGACTGTATTATTCGCACAGTTATTGCAACACATTGAATTTAAACCGCAACTTACTTTGCCTGCATTAACCTTATAAATAATTAGCAAAAAACCATGCATGCAAAGCAATTCTAGACGAAATTAACATTAAGTGCATCAAGTGAACCAGAAGTGGCGCCAAATAAGCAAAAAAAAACCTCTCGGCTAGTGCCAATAGTGCGGAAATTCAAGGACTACAACAAATTGGGGTCGAACCGGAAAAATAAAGCCCATCAATTACCACCAATTCGTACCTTGGAATCGTACCAAATAGAAGTAATGAGCTATTAATAAGCTAACCTACTTAAGACAGAAAAATTCCCTGCCGCCACGTAATCCCGTTGGCGTCAGGTGTGTGTGACAGTGACCAAGAACTCCAAAATGCTCCCCTCCTCCTGCTGGTACTACCCAATGGGGTCAACGCACGGCCGGACCGTCGAGTGGTACCGTTAGATCGCCGCCAATGGTAATCGTTATGGTGCGCCGGTACCTTCGCAAATGTTCCTCCACTTGGCAAATGTCGCAATTTCGTCATTTAAGCTTTATAAATAAATATTGCTTAATTACCAAATCTCCTGTTGTTGAGCATTTTTGAACCAAACCTCTACAAGTGTAGCTCCAATAATTGCCGGTTTCTTCCAAGAAGGAGGGTTTTCAGACTCACTAGGAAAGATACAGGAAGCAATTTAATAATATACCTATTTAAATGGCTATGGACAGTTTTCACGATTTGCAAAAGTCCTGAAATGAAAATGCGGACAGGAATTATTACTGTGGAAGCTTTCGATTGCTACTTAACGCAATGTTGTGCTTAATTTCCTCAAGTTCGAAATAATCATGCAAAATGTATGCATTCAGCTCAAATCAATGAAGGTATTTATTGATGTTAACAGTTAACACGTTAAGGAGCTATTCTCAAACTGTTGAGAGGTGTTCACTCCATACAGGGTGATTCAAAATTGGCGCCATTCCTCTGATGGTGTTGTCCGGGGGGCGTTTTGGGAGTACAGAAAAAAACAGTTTAAAAAATAATTCTTATCAAAATCTAAGATATTTACACAAAACGTACGTTACTTAAATACCTGTTACTTCTTAAATACCATATCAAAAGGTCAAGTAACCATAGATAAACAAAGAAAGTGAGGTTGAAATGCAATAAAATAGGTTAAGCTGACGCGTCGTAACGAATGTCAAAAATACCTCTAATGAAAAGTTAGGTTAAGCATTGTGGTGATTGGCGGTGAAACGAAATTGTTGTTTTGAAAAAATTGTTCTGAAATGTGCGCATCTTCCAAGAGGTATTCGAAGTTCTGTCCAATTAAGTCTAAACATGTTTATGCCCGTGTAATCACTTTATTTGCACTCTTCACAGCATTGTGAACTCACCTTTTGAGTAGCTTCTCGTATTCGGTTAATTAACTCGTGCTCAATTTGTACCGGTGTTCTCTGTATATTTTCTTTTGCTCCTTTTCTCATTAATTTGAAATTTAGTACTAAGTGAGAATCATGTCCTGATGAACCAACTGTGTTCAGTTATGAACAAAACGGAAATTCCTGAGTGTCTTGGTTCAAAGTGCTGCAGAACGTTCTATTTGGTGGCTGGAACATTCTAGTTGGAAGCAAGTCGTTTTTGTTTTCCCATTGTTCAGATTTTTGCGCTTTTTTTGGAAAATCCTTAGGCAGTCGTATAATAAAATACACTGAAAAAAATATCTCAAATATGTTATACAATACTTTATGTACAATAACAACAGATACTCGTTGTAACAACAGATATACTGGAGGAAATGAGCGAGCAAAAAAGAAAACATGTAAAGTAATCATAACATTTAATATTTATTCAAAAACCTTGAATTGGAAGAAAAAGAAATAGATCTGCTGTAAATGCGATTATTTGTTGTATTCCTGGACGTGTGGACGATAGATAATGAAAGCTTCGGAGCGAAACTTTCCTGAAGATACAAGTTAGTTGTGTTTGTGAAACGTCGGGTAGAAGTTCTTATCAAGTACGTCCTAAAAGCGCGAAAAACTCACCAGTTGCAAAGTGTACAAAATTGAAAATTCATAAAATGTGTCTTGATGTGTAAACTGTTTATAAGTGAGTGAAATCTAAGAATTCTAAAATTGACTGGAAAATTCTCACTAGCTTCAAGATTCGATCTAGCTTTTTGCAAATGAAATCAATTCACAATATGGATGTAATTTATTACAGAATCATACATTGAGAAAGCCACACCATTGCAAAAATCTAATAAAGTTTTCCATTGTCAGAACGGTCGTTTCGTCTATAGATGGCCCTAAAAATACCCGGAAACATGTTCTGTTTAGGTACTGAAAAAGCCGCTCTTTATCCACGTCCAAGCGTACATGGATTGCTTCCAAAATGCTGCCACCATTTGCGCTAAAACCAAAGCAATACTTTGAATCGTCATCTTCAAACTGAAAGTCGGCTGCATGAATCGAAATCAATTCCTCAATGTCCTCTTCGTCATCAAACACCGAAAAAGAACTTTGCTGTTCTCCATGCACAAACTGCCTGGTGTTCGGCAAATGTTGGCATGATTTGCTACGTACAGGAAGATTGGGGTTTTTACAATGCCCTGATGCAACAGGATTATTTGATAAACGAATATCTACTGGATTTTCAAAGTCCTGCAATCTAAATGAGTTTCTGGAACCATTTTCGTCCAAGTGGATTGTCAGCGTACATTTATCTGCGGTTGCGTGTCTCTTTAGAATAGGCTTAAGGCTGTTTGCAGCTTCGGAAAGACTGTGCACAATTTTGCAGGAATTTTCAGATTCGGATGTAGCTGTAAAATTATCAATTGCAGGTTTCCTTTTAGCCAATCCATCATTGTCTGGATGGTTTTGCGAAAAATCTCTGAACGATCTTCGTCTACTGCAGGATGGGTTGTAGCAAGCGTCACGATGGCACAATTTTCTTCTAAAAAAATGCCTCGAGTTACTTGAATCGATGCTAATCTGAAGACGATTAATTAGACCTACTTGGACATTTATTTTTTCATTTTTTTGGGAGGTAATTGAAGTTTTGACTGCCAGTTTGGACGTATTGTCATTTTGTTAACATCAACGGAAATGAAGAATTTGTGACATAATTATCAGTATGTTCAGTAACTTTTGTCAAGAATGTAATTTTTCATTTGGCCAACATGCGCCTTGCGCCTGTACATGCTTGAACCTAAAAGCCAAGAAATAAACAGAAGAACACTGATTGAACTTTAAACACTTGATGTACAACAGATGTGAAGTCTACCAATGATCTCCAATATACAGTTAAGATTTTAATGAAGACAATAATAGCTTTCAAAGCAAGTGCCTACTAAATAAACGCAAAGTTATCGACCTTCGAGCTCATGAAAAATATGCATTCAATTTTCAGACAGTTAACATTTTACAGATACAATAAAGGACGGGTTTTCCGCTCAGGTAACAATGCCAAATTGATTCCAACATTGACATCCTTCATCAATTAAATTTCGACCCTAACTCAACATCTAAATTACAAGTGCTTTAATTCATCAGCACAATGGCAAATGCCCGGGAATTTCGAAAAACCGTCAAAACTGTAAGCAGAAACTTCGAAAAATACACCCAAGCCATGGAGACTGATGTCCAGCTGCTGATAACTTGCATGCTGGAAGTGATCGAAATGAAAATTATCGCCTTGTGGAGGCTGCTGAAGCTGAAGTTGTGCATCCGGAATGTTAGAAGTATTGCCAGACTGGAGTGTTTAACGCGAATGGACGACATTAGTTTGAATACCGCCATCAGTCTTAGTGAGAGGAAGGAGGACATTAAAAAAGACTGCGGCTCGCTGGAAGACTTATCGTCCATGGTGTACGAAGTGGAGGAGCATTCGTTGCCAAACGAAGAGGCCGTGGAGGAGGATGATGAAGCGCAAGAAAATGTGATGTTTCTTGAGGATATTGCCGATATAGAAAGTCTCTGCTCGGCTCCGACCCACCATAACAGCAAAATGGGAAATGCGCGCAAGGAAGACGCAGCAGAACATCCCAGGGACGCCTTGAATAAATACATTTATATGCTGCTGGATGCCGAGCACCAAAAAAGCAAAAGCCCAGCTCCTGAAGAAACTGATTATAAACCGCAAACCATCGGTGACTTTGCTGAACAAGCGCAGTCGGAAGAGGGCAAAGTCAAACCAAAAAAATCGCGAGAAAGTGTGGTATACTTGGGCAAGTCGGATTACGAGAGCATTCTGGACATTTTGAACATGGTGCTGAGATCATACAAGATGCAAGAAGAAATAGAGAAAAGAAGCAAAGTAATCGAAAAAACCAACACCGAACCAGTCATTTCATCAGCGATGAACCAAACTGACCAGCGGAAGATTGTCTCGGACAGTATGTGTCAGCAGAAAGACAACAATCAGACAGCGAAGAAGCAGAAAAATAAAAAATACACTTGTGTTTAGAAACACAATACATTTTCAAGGTAGTTTGGGTTGTTCGTATTCCGGCCGTTGTAAACAAACACATTGAAAGCGGACGTATCCTGCAAGACATAGAATTATATTTTCAAGTCCATGGTGCGCAAAAGAGCGACAAGCAGGTTTGGTCCACTAGGCAACCGGAGGTCGTTGAATCCGTGGCCGTGGCCGCCACACTCCCCTCCACTTCTGTTGCGCAACTTGCCCTCAACTTTTTCTTCACTCACTTTGCCTGCTTGTTGGTCTTCCTTCAATTTCTTCGCATGCGCAGTTCACTTCTGAGTCGATTCGAGCAGCGCACCTAACCATTTTTCGCTCAGCTAGTATTTTACGCTAACCAACAGCTTTAAACTTTTCTAGCTTTTTTCATTGATGCTGCTGTTGGCTTTTAAGGCAATTAACAGGTTTTTACTGCTTTATTTACATGTATGACATCTGACTCTTTTGGACGCAGGACTTTTGCTAAGTGGTTTTCTTGGAAGAATTGCTGTCAATGGTCAATTCCTCCAAAGTTTTACGAACATTATCAAAGTTCTCCTAATTGATAGTGGGAATCTTCGGTAAATTACAGAGAGTTATTGAGGTCACGTTAAGAACCGCACCAGGCAGCAAAGGATTTTATTGTTTTTGCCATGAAGTTGAAATTAGGGTCACTTATTTTGTAATAGTCATCTTATGGTATGGTCTGTCATGAACAAATTGATTATTGCATGTTTGATAATTGTTAGTTTTCTTTCGATATTGAATAATGTTATGCTGAAACTTATTAATATACTCTTTTGACCGCATTTTTACAAGTTTGACTAATTACGCAAACAAAAATGTTATTTGACCCCACTAAGGATTTGATACAATTTCCGAATCACATTGAGAAGAACGGAAAAATCGATTGATTCAGCCAATTTGGTCCAATTTTTGGAAAAATGGAGTGCTAATCGAACAGCCACAAAAAAATTCTGAAGATTACCATAAATTTGAAATTATAATCAAAATGGTGTTGCGACCTACTCTGGCTCAGAAGAAGACGATCTCAACTAACTTATCAGTTTTAAGCAATCTCGCTGTATATTTTCTACTACGTTAGATACATATTTTTTCGTAAAACTTCCCCGCTCATTCGCATTGGGCTACTGATAAATTCTTACGTGTCTTGATACAAAAACTTGCAGAACTTGTTCCTGGGCATCTGAAATTTTTTATTTTTTTTTTTGGTTAGATTAAACACTAGCCTTCTGTCGATATTATCGTGTTCTTGATAAAATCTTGTAGCATTCATAGTTTTTACGCAAACAATATTTTTCTGTTATGCATCCCATAAAATAGTGCTCATACCGAACTTCTTTTAAATTTTTAGTCTTAAAATTTTTTTAATAAATTGCAATTATCTTCTATCCATTGGGAAAAGGGCAAACAAATATTATAATAATTTTATCAATACAAGGAGTACAAGGATCTCAAGAAAGGATTAGTGCATTTATAAAAAAAAATAGAAGTGATTTTCTAGTAACTTTTGCGCCAACACGCTCACGAATTTACCATTCGTCCAAAGTCGATGGAAGCAATAACTTCATCAAAATATAATTCTAATATACGATAAATAGTCCAAAACGCATATAAACAGCAGAAAAGCCTGATTTTTTGAACAAAAGTTAAGCCAGATCGTCTTCGTTTAGCCGTAGTTGCATTTTCGTCATGTGCTTACAGAACAGCCTGTCTAAATAAGAAATCTTCAAATGTAAATTTATCATCGTAAATGTGTGATTTCTTATATGCTGCTTATTTTGATCATCATAATTCCAACATTTTCAAGCTTTAAACACAATTTACGGAAATTAAATTATTTGAGCACACGGACTGCCCTAAATGCCCTATAATTTTCGCTACTAGTCTTGAGACACTTTGTATCAAATAATCTTAATAATCAATATAAAAATAATGCTAATGAAGAGATGAAACCAAACCAAAAAAGTAACATTATTTATACTATTTTAATTCATGTGTATCAGGATACATTTTCTACTAATCATTTTTTCAGCACGTTTTGTGTCAATATAAATAAACTGGGCGAGTGGAACGAAGTGAAAAATTACTAAAAAATGCTAACTAGTAATACACATTAAAATCACAAATAAGCATAGGTACAAATCTGAGAATCCGATTTATTAACATGTACAGTTTAAAACATGTTATATTATTTAAAAATTATGCAGTTAAACGAATTTCAAAACCAGCTTTTCTGTTTTATTTAATTTTGAATGCCGGTTTTACCGAAACATTTACGTGAAGAAAATTTTCATGATTTTTACATACTAAAATCTAAAGAGTTAACGTAAATTTCGAAGAAATTATAAATTTTGCCTATTCATTTGCGTCACGTTTCAAACATTGGTAAGTAATTTCGAGCTTAAAAACTTAAACAAAAAATTATACAAAAGCAACAAGAAAGTAAAACGAGGTAGAAATTGTTTCAAATCGTCTTTCTGACTTTTAGACCGTTCTTCCAGACTCAACAGTTTTTAATGTCCAGTATTTTCAACTAAATAGACCACACATAACACAAACAACCCAAACTCTTTGGATTGTCTGTTGAATGACCAGGAAATAACCAAAATAGAACATTTCCACATTCAAGTTTCATTGAACTTGACTCACAAGAAGCCGCACTAAAAAAACGAATTGGAAAATAACAGCGATGGATCGGAAGCTCGCTTATAGAAGAATGACTAGTGAAAACCCATCGTGTTTCTTGAACTGTAGAATTTCTAACTATTTGCGTCCGAAAAACGTTGAAATTATTGTCGTTTAAACTACGTTAACTCCTTTAGGCTTCCTAATGTTGGTCGTGATTCTTATACTGGAAAGTCATGGGCAATTTCATGGCGTTATTCTAAATTTGCCAATACACCATAGAAAATTAAAAAATTCCCATTAGATGGTTCGACCGATGCTGCGGCGGTCGATTCTACTGGTTATGTGAAAGGAATGAGAATGACTTATTCGAAGTTCAATGACCATGACAAACATTGGCGGTCACTCGGTTTTCTTGGCATCTGAACATTCCAATGCAAAGAATTTTGATCTAAACAACTACATATGGTACTTTATTATTCCACTTTTCAGCTGCTTACTAACATTGATTCGAGCGATTCGTGACATCTTCGGTCTGCATCTCTTCAATTTCTATCGTTTTATTGGCATAATTAGAACTTTGGCAGGAATAAATGTATGTAGACGAGCTGCTACATTAGTGGATCCTTGTGCGATTAATATAAACTGACTGAAGAATCGCTATAAATAAGGTTCTTCTTGTGGCCGAGGGCCTTTGATCAGGTCTTTTACCTTTATGAAAAACAAGTTCTCACTCAAAACTATAATGCTGTTTAAAACATTTATTACATTGTTTAAATTCACACTTGATGGTTATAGCAGTGACTAACATGCCTCAAGACTGGCTCAACTGGAAACGTTATTTTTATGGTGGGATTTTATTTTAATGATTTTGATACTTGAAACATTATGTTGACATGTTATTGGATGGGTTAAATGATCGCACAAAACCTCATAAATGGTATTTACTTTATGGAAAAGTTGCTGATATTTCACGAAGAACGTACTTTGAATGTTTTATTCAACGATATAGAATGAAAAAATCCATGCCGAAAACATTTAAGGCAAATTCCAGACGGTCAAATTCAACAATATATTATTGACGATAAACAACTCCTAAATCTGTTTATCACATCATCATCATTGGTTAATCATTATCA